GATACCTGGGTGTCAAAAAAAAAAAGACACAGACTCTCATTCAATAATTATGGGACAGTGCAGTGGATAAGGTGGGTGGAGGTATGTATTTTATTTGTTTCTTTGTCTCTGTCTTTTCGACCAACGCCATTCACGATAACATTACAACATTTTTTTAAGGGAATTTCACTTTGTATAAGAATAAAATAAATTATCTATAAGGGAAAACTCCACCTAGAGTTTCCAACCTTTTTTAAATATGACATTTAAGCTACTAACATATCATTTCTGCACTTATATATGGAACTTTTAAAACTTGTGAAGACATGATCCTTACTGATGAAAATCGTCTATTTTATATTTAAAAAATCAAATTGCGTTTTTAAGAGGACTGTTATACCTTTTTTGAATTAAAACTAAAAAAATATAAGTAAAGAATGAAGAAAAGGACAAAAAAAGCAAGTTTGGTATGAAATAAGAATTCAACTTCGGATGGAAGTTAGTTAGCTTTTTGAAGATGGCGATGTTTTGTGACGATTAGCTAATGAGAAAAAAAAATGTTGGCATTGAGCTGATGATTGGGAAGCGGTACGATTGATTGAGATCCAGAGAGGGGTGTTGTATTTCCTTTTCTTAATTTTTGCTTTTATTTGTTAAGGTTATAATAGTAACCTTTCTAATGGTCTAGCCGGCAGTTTCGATGGTGAGAACTGTACTTGCACAATTTTGAAATAATAGGGATCTTAATGACACTTTTGATAGGTTGAGGACCTTCAATGTCAAGCTTAACAAAGATTGAAGACTCCAATGAAATTTATCTCTAATATATGCAGGCCGGACGCTGAAACTTCCCCTACTCGCCCATTCCCCCTCATACTGTGAATCCCGAAGGAAATGGCTGAGTTGCCAATCCAATTCGGCATACTAGGCTGTGCTGACATAGCACGAAAAGTCTCCCGGGCAATAATCCTCTCCCCAAATTCGACTCTTTGCGCCGTTGGCAGCCGATCTTTGGAAAAAGCTGCCAAATTCGCTAAGGAAAATGGTTTCCCGAAATCGGCTAAGGTATATGGATCGTACGAAGCAGTTTTGGATGATCCAGATGTGGATGCTGTCTATGTGCCGCTGCCCACCAGCCTGCACGTTAAGTGGGCAGTCCTGGCTGCCCAGAAGAAGAAGCACTTGCTTTTGGAGAAGCCCGTGGCGCTGAACGTGAAGGAACTGGATGTGATTCTTGAGGCAGTCGAATCCAGCGAGGTGCAGTTTATGGATTCTACCATGTGGATGCATAATCCCAGGACTGCTGCAATGAAAGAGTTCCTCTCCAATTCGGAGCTTTTCGGTGAACTCAAATCAGTAAGTTGAAAATCTGTTGGTTGTTTTATGTGAATGTGTTATCTTGTGCAAATACTTTTTTGTTTGTTTTATTGGATGAACAGTGAGTTAGTTTTGTTACCAAAGTTATGACTTGGCAACAGAAATGAAGAGGATGATAGGAGTGATGGGGACACCAAAAAATCTTGGAGCGACAAGGTTGTGAACAATGGTGGACGCAGCCATTCTGAGTTAGGTTACAATCAAACCCATCAAATCATAGTTATAAAAATCGGCCCAGCCGGTCGGGTCGGAAAACAGGCGACCCGGACCCTTGACCGAGCTGGCAGATTAATTTGATAAGAATGCACTTGAATCGGTCAAAATCGGGCTTTGACCGAGTTAACAGGTGATTTACCAGGCCCGATTGACCGGTTTGATTGGGTTTTGAAATCCTTTTACAAAATTTTTGGGTTTTGGGTTCAAGGGAATTGAACCTTACCTCTAAGAAAAATAATGAATTCCTCACCACTTGAACATAAAGTGTGGATTCCTCACCACTTAAACATAAAGTGCTTTTGTATTACTTGTGTGCTATAACTTATATCTAACTAATGAATCATTTATAGCTTTTATTAAAATATTCTTCTAAAAACCTTCGGTCCAACATTTTACTTCATTTTATAGACCTAAATAATTAGTGAAAAATAAATTAAAAATTTTAATTTTGCCCCCAAAAAATTATACTTTATATATTTTTTTGTAGGTTTTTATGTAATGACCCGTCGGTTGAACCGTCGAGTCACCAGTTTAACCACTAACCCGTTGACATGTTGTATTGTCCGGGTCGAGTCTGACAACTATGCATCAAATGCTTTGTTCTTGAATTTTTAATGATTCAAATTTGACCTAAGAGTGCATATTTACTTTTTAAAAAATTCCTTCATGTTATTTTGCTCATCATTTTCATCCATTTGATTTCGAATGGTCATTTTATTAATATTCTGCTCATCGCAAGAAAATGCATAATTATGTTTAAACAATTTATAATGTATTTGGTACAAACATTCAATTCAAGTAATCGAAAGGAAAAACATATAACCACTATTCAAATTATAATCAATCAAATAAACACAATCGTTAAATATAAGTCAAATTAGATATAATCATTTCAAACACATTCTATATACACAATTTTATAGAAGAGAATGCAAATTTAGGTTTTAATTAGTTGAAATTTTGACTCGGAAGTGAAGATTTGTAGTTAGATGTAATAGTTTGTTGAGAAATTATAGAGAAATTTTAAAAAATTAGAAGGGTTAAAATTTTGGTAAAATGTGTGATGGAGAGAGTCGCGAGAGAGAGAGAGAAAGAGAAAATGTTCAAATTCATTGTGTTTTTGCCCTATTTGGTGAGAATTAAAATCAGATTTTTAGTAAATTTTAATAAAAGTTGAAATGTTGTGAATTTCATGAAGTATTTTATTAAAATTAATAGTTAACTTTAAAATTTAGATTTCAATCCATAACAAACCGAATTTTATCAAAAAAGAAAAAAAATCCCAAAGTTAGGGGGTCACGTGACCCCCCGTGTCCGCCCCTGGTTGTGAATCCACATATAATTTCAAAATTAGTTAAAACATTTTGAGTGATCAAGAAGACTCGGGATCAATAAATTCAAACCAAATAATAGTACAACTGGATAAGAAATGTTTATTCTTTGGATAAACACTAACCACAAAAATAGTGGAGAGTTATTAATCTTATTTTATTATAAATGTGAATAAATGTGTGTTGAATGCTCATCGCCCATGGTCGTCATTCAATTAAGTTATAAACAATCTTTTATTCATTTTAAAGCTCTTTTTTATGTTTTCTTCCTGGTATCAGAGTCATTATGAGCACTTGACACATCACAATTCTTCTCTTCCACCATCATTTCACTATTTGTAAATGATGACAACTGTTTTACACTCATCTCACATTAATTCTCATCCACCAAATATATCGCACCAAAATTTCACCAGTGAAGACCCTACCGCTACCAAATATGTCACACCAAATCAAAACAATACCAAAAAATAAAAAAAATTCACAACATTGACAATTAAGTTCATTGCATGGCGAAAGTCTGATCATATCCTTCATTGTAGATCATTTAAACACTTTGAAGAAACCCTCGGACTCGTTATTGGCTTAGACACAACCCATGTAGTATAGGAAGCACTTAAAATGCATATACACAAGTTTCGCAAAAAATGTGAATTCACGCTACAGCAATAGGTGACATATCTTCGCAAGGATGAAGATAAAATTTCGAACCAAACTGTGCCTTCAGCTTCAACACAGTTTGTGGGAGAATTTTAGCAACGTCATATGACTTGACTACAGAAATGATGATCAGAGTGATAAAGAGACTAGAAAATCTTGGGAGTCATAAGGTTTTGAATCCACACATAATTTTAAAATCAATTGAAATATTTTGAGTAATCAAGAAGACTTGGAATCAATAAATTCAAACCAAATGATAATCCAATAGGATGAGAAGATCTTACATGAACTAACAGTACAACCACGAAAAATAATGTATTAAATCAAATTTAAGTCCAGATGCATCGATATAATTAGTCAATTCACAGAGTCCTACAGAAATGCAGATTGTTAGTTTATTATTTGATAATTATATCTATTCTTTGGATAAACACCAACCACAAAAATAGTGGAGAGTTGTTAGTCTTATTTTATATATATAGGAATCAATGTGTGCTAGATGCTCATGGTCTATGGTCATCATTCAATAAAGTTATAAAAGTCTTTTATTTATTTTATAGCTCTTTTTCATATTTCCTTATGTCGGTACAAATTTCCAAATAATGCTTTCTTGTGATCTTCGCACGTCCCATGTTTTTCTTTTTTCCTTAATTAAGATAAAAGTAATGTTTGTTATATTAAAAAAGATTGTTGGAAATATAATTCAGATTAGGAGTTGTAACTTGCTTAATAAATGGCTCTATCATTTACTTTGATACTTTAAAGTTGATTCAATCTTCTACATTAATGCATGTAAATGAAAATAAATCTCTTGTCAATTCTGCAGGTAAATAGCTGCTTTACATTTGCAGCTAAACAAGATTTTCTGGAGAATGACATTCGTGTGAAGCCGGATCTTGATGCTCTCGGTGCTCTTGGTGACGCTGGGTGGTATTGCATCCGGTCAATTTTGTGGGCTTCCAATTTCGAGCTTCCGAAAACAGTACTTGCATTGCGTGATCCTGTTTTCAACAAGGCAGGAGTTATTCTAGCATGCAGTGCTTCTTTGTATTGGGAAGATGGGAAAATAGCAACCTTCCACTGCTCTTTCTTGGCCAACTTGACAATGGATCTAACCATTGTTGGAACAAATGGCACTTTGCATCTGCATGACTTCGTTATTCCATTTGAAGAGAAAAAGGCGTCATTTTCTGTTGCTACGAAATCAGGTTTTACCGAGCTTGTGACTGGGTGGGAGCCTAAGCCGAGTGAGCACCAAGTGACGACAGACCTCCCTCAAGAAGCCCTAATGGTGAAGGAGTTTTCTAGACTGGTTGGAAGCATTAAATTTGATGGTTCTAAACCTGAGATTAAGTGGCCAACCCTGAGCAGGAAGACACAGCAGGTTTTGGATGCTGTCAAGCTGTCAATTGAGAAAGGATTTGAAACTGTTGAGGTCTAGACTCATAATGTTGCCCGGTCGGCCTTGTCCCTGCATAGGATTTGTGCTTGTCATATTTGAAATTAGATTGTTGCCATTTTATTGTGTGATTAATGTTCAATCATAGTGTCTTGTAGAACAGCTGTTTTTGTTTCCAGGTTGAGTTCCTGGTTTTGCTGGTTGGAATAAAAGTTACACTGTGATTGTGAATATGCATGTTCCTTTCTGGAAATATATCTACGTATTTTCCTTCAATTATCTAGATAACATAATTAGCAATCTTCATTAGAAGTACCAAGAAACGGAATGGTGATCTGAAATGTTAAAAACTTTTATTTGTCTTGCATCAAAGATGGTTTTTGAGTATAGTTCATTGTTGTCGGTCAAGGTCATAGATAATTGCTATTAGAATATATTGTTTCCAATTCCTAGTATTTATATTTTTTAATGGCATTAATTATTTTGTAGAACTAGACTCACTCGTGAAATAAATCATCACACTTGTGGTGCAACCAAGTGAATCAATAAATTCCTTTCCACGATATTGGATGCTTTGTCCTTGCCTTTTTGTGCATATTTAGTGTTTATCAGTTTTGTAGTATGAATTTACTCATCATTGTTATTTGTTTGCTATTATATTTACTTATCCAATTGTTTCCCTGAAAATCATGAATTTGTTTTCATGTTCTGCAATATCTCCATCACAGTCGCGTGCTTAGAATGTTTCTCCTTTCGTACTCTTCTCTAATTATTTGATTGCATTTGGAATATTGAAAGATTTCAAATTTTTGAGTTTGATTGGACTCTACAAAAGATGGCATTCTTTTGAAGCCATATTTTGATGTACTTGATCACTTGGCACAGTATTGCCTGAAGATTATCTCCTATAATTATAATTGTGGACTTTGTAAAGAATTTTTGTTTCATGCAATTCTGTTTTCAACAAAAATGGGTTGCTTGTCTCTCTTCTATTATGAAAATAGGATGTCTGTGTTATTATATTGCCTTTTGTTCTCAAATTTGAACACCAATTGCACTGTACTTAAGATATGTTTGTAGCTTTTTGAATTCATTATTTTGAAAAATCTAGCCCATAAACTTGCAGCCATAGGAGAGCCCCTCTCGAATAGGGATCAGATTTTGTATTGCAGTTAATTTTAAAGCTCGATTATTTGAAATTTATTGATGCAATGTATGGCGGCATGGAATTATGGGGCCTCACTTTCGAAAGATCAATTCATATTGGCTCTAATCATTTCCTGTTGCAATTATGAGGCTTCAGTTTCGTGCCGCGAAGTGCAGCATGAATTCTTTTGAAATGTTGCTTGTCTAAGAGAAATACTTTGTGAATGTGAACTAAATGTGTTGAGGTTCCCATGTCATTCTTAATTATTTTGGTTTAGAATTTGTTGAATTTATGTTGTTATTTTATCTTTTTCTCGAGATGGCTTTCATGCCCTGGTTCAAAGTTTGTGTTTTGAAAATTTGCATTACATCATGTTTTCTTTGTTCTGTCAATTTACATTGTGCCTGCAAAAGATTGAACTTGGAATGGAATTCTCGTGTGTGCCGGAATTTTGAAGAAATTCTCCTAAACCAGTACCGCTAAAGCAGAAGGTACATTCAAAATTTATCGTCTGTCTCACCCAATGCAATAGTTGTACTTTTAAGCATCAGCTGTGTAATGCTGTGTTTGGGTTTTGACATTAGTGCAGTGCTCTTTCATTTGCCTCATTAGTGAAGTGTTCTATACAATTTGCACAGATGCACATAATGAAGTATGTTGGATCAATTGCACATATGCACATAATTGGATATTGTTGTTAGAAGCATTTGTTGGGAGCAAACAAAATGTCCTATATCGATTGGGAGAAGAAAAGAAATCCGTCATATAACTCAAGTAGGCTACTCCATCCATTGCC